GAAGTTTACATCCTGGGCATGGGCAGACTGAGGTCAGAGAGGACAGGGACTAGCCAGAGGTCACACAGGTAGTTGGGTTAGTGGGCCAGACTTGGCATCCTGATTCCAATCTGGCTTGTTTCCACTGCCCTATGGCTTTCTTCTGTTAGGCATCAAAAAGTGGGGTAACTTTCCCAAACCCACACAACTATCTAGAAACAGGGCCAGATTCATTCATTCATTAACATTTACTGCCAGTTGGAGCTGGTGGAGAGAAGCAGCCAAATTCAAGAGATAACCGAGACACTGAGCCGGGCACAGTGGTGCACGCCTGTAATCCCAGCAACTTGGGAGGCTGAAGCAGGAGGATTGAGAGTTCAAAGCCAGCCTCAGCAACTTAGCAAGGCCAGGTCTCAAAATACAACATAAAAAGGGCTGGGGATGGCTCAGTGGATAAGCACCCCTGGGTTCAATCTTTGGTACCAGAAAAAAAAAAAAAAAAGACAGAGAGGGAGAGACAGATAGACACTGACACCTGACACACTCTGTTGATAGATTGGATGGGAGGTTTTCTTTTTCTTTTTCTTTTTTTTTTTTTTTTTAAGTCATTATCTGAGGACGGGATGGGGATGAGATCTCATAGAGAAGGAGAGTACAGAGAAAGCAGCCTCAGGTAGAAACCTTAGACTGGCCATCATTTTGTGCCAGGTAGAAGAGACAAAGAGGTCTGGTCATAGTGGGAAATAGGAGAGTGCAGTGTCTTAGAAACCAAGAGAAAAAAAAGGTCTGTAAAAATAGTGGTCACCAGGGGCTAATGCCACTGCGAGGTTGCATAAGATGAGATACCATTGGTGAGGCAGGGTGGTCACTAGGAACTCTAGAGAAAGGAGTTTCAGTGCAGAAGCTGGGTCACATTGGAAGCAGACATGGCTTCTGTGAAGAGATGCAGAACCACAGATGAGCCAAGTAGATCTGCCAGGCTGGACTAGCTAAGACTGGAGGATGCAAATGCTAGATTGGCTCCAGGCTGGGTCCTGCAGAGGGGTGAAGTGACTGTGCCCCAAATAAAGAAGTCCCCGTCTTCAGGCCTAAACACTCTTCAGCTTGCCACATGGAGGGCTTTGGGGCCCTTTCAGGCCTGTGTGTCTCTCGTGGAGAGAGCACCCCAACTATGGGCCTGCCTGCTGGAGAAGAAACAAAGCCAGAAAAAATGGAAGGAGCCTGAGACAGGACCCCCAGTCTGTCCTCCCTGAGGAGGGACAATATGGGATGGTATACAGCAGGAAACCGAGCCAGGAAACTAAACTTAGGGCACCAGAAAACAGGACAATAATGATGAGAAAAATGTTTGGAAAGAATGTGAAAGTTTATGTATATAGGCATATTCCCCAGATTTTTTGAGGTATGATTGGCATATAAAAATTTTATCTAAAATTTACACCATGCTGATTTGATATACATATCTACTGAAAATGAATACTACACAATCAAGTTGATAACGCATCCATCACTTCATATGTATAGTCTTTTTATGTCTGTATAGTGAGAACACTTAAGATTTATCAAATTTCAAGGACATAATAGTGTTGCTAACTATAGTGATCATGCTGCATGTTACATTCCTAAAACTTATCCATCTTACAGTGGGAAGTTTGTACCCTTTGACTCCATCCTCAGCCCCTAGCAATTACTATTACACTCTCTGCTTTTGTAGATTCACCTGAAATTTCACATTAAGTGAGGTCATACAGTATGTCTTTTTTGTGGTTGGTTTATTCCACTTAACATAATGTCTGTCTTCCAAGTTCAACCATGTCGTTACAAGTGGCAGAATTTCCTTCTTTTTATGACTGAATGTATCTCACACGTTATTTATCCATTCACCAATGGATGGACATTTAGGTCGACACCATATCTTGGCTATTGTGAATAGTGATAATAAACATGGGAGTGCAGGTATCTCTTTGGATACATATCCCGAAATGGGATTGATGGATCCTATAGTAATTTTATTTTAATTTTTTGAGGAATCCCCATACTGTTTTCCATAATGGTTGCACCAATGTATGAGGATCCCCCCACCCCGCCTCCGTCAATCTTCACCAGCACTTGTTACTTCTTGATGGCAGCCACTCTATCTCCTTGTGGTTTTGATTTGTGTTTCCCTGATGACTAGTGATGCTGAGAACATTTTCACATGCTTCTTGGCCATTTTGTAGGTCTTCTTTGGAAAAATGTCTATTCAGGTTCTTTTGGCCATTTTTAAATCAGGCTGTTTTTCTACTATTGAGTTGTATAAGTTCCTTATGTATTGTGGATATAACTCCTTATTAGACATATGGCTTGCAAATATTTTCTCCCATTCCATAGGTTGTTTCATTTTGTTGATTGCTTCCTTTGTTGTGCAGAGCTTTTTAGTTTGTTGTAGTCCTGCTTAGTTTTGCTTTAATTGCTTGTACTTTGGTGTCAAATTAAAAAAAGAAAAATCGCCAAGACTCGTGTAAAAAGCTTCTCTCCTATTTTCCTCCAGAAGTTTTACAGTTCAGATTTTACATTTAAGTATTAATAAGTTTTGCTTTAAAGCATTGAAATACACATAAGAAAAAATGGAACCTGGGGGACTTTCTTACGCCTATCGTAGGCTTTGTTAATGTGTATTGTGATTAGACACAGGAGGACATCAAATTCTTTCCAAGGTCTAGGGACTCTAAAGGTTCAGGCTCTCCCTCTGGGGTTCTTGCCTTCCCCTGGAGGCTAGCACTGAAAGCCACCTCCAGGTCCTGACAGCTGGGCCTTGTTCTCAGAAGCCCTCCCTTCTCCTTTCATTTGCATCTCATTAGCACCACTTGGAGCTGGTGGCAGCTCTGCCTGGAGCTTTGGGAGCGGCTGCGTCCTGGCCCAGGCCCTGCTCCCAGCGTGCAGAGGGGTGTAGCGATGGCTCTCCCCTCCCCCTTTCCCTCCCACAATCCGCTTCCACTGGGAGGGCGCAGGCGGACGAGGTGTGCCCAGTTCTCCACACCCCCACCCAGGCTCAAGTCGCCTAGGCTCCCGCCCCCGCTCGTTCCCATGGCAACGGGGTGATGGAGCGGGGTTGCGGTGCCTGCTGAGGAGCAACGCGGCCACCCAGCTACCCGCCCCTCTGCCGCCCAGGCTGGATTGGTGACAAGCACGGCCTCAATCTCCCGAGATGATCGGCGATAATTGGTTTATGGAAATAGCTGAGAGGAGAAGGCGAGCTCCCTGCTAGAAACCAGCCTCCCCGCCAAGCCCGCTCTCGGCCACCTGTCCTTCCCTCACCACGGAAATGGAGGTGGGGGAAGGGAGGGCCGAGGAGCTGGGCTGGCGCAAATGGGTTTTGGAGGCAAGCAAGGCCAGCTTTTCACCTGTTGGTCTCCAGCATGGCACCTCTCGCCCTTTCCCTGTGTGTGGGAGGCGGGGCTGCTTGTTATACCCAGGTGTGGGTATAACAAGCTATCATGGGGCTTCTAATCCTTTAGTGCACCCCATAGCCCCAGCCAGCAGTCTGTGCTCAGTCCTGTGTTGGGTGCATTGTTGCAGAAATGGAGAATGAAACTTGGGACCCTCAGGGAGCCTCAGTTAGCGGGATAGAAGAGAAGCACATAAACCATATTTATATAAAGTATTTCAGACCAGTGTTGTTACTACTGCGGGGCTCCAGAGGATCAAGAGCTCAACTCTGGTGGCTGGCTGCCTGGAGGAGGCATCTTGATCAAGGCATTGAAAGTGAGATTTCAGTAGGAATGGGTGGTTTTGATTTGTGTTTCCCTGATGATTAGTGATGCTGACAACCTCTTCACATTGCTTCTTGGCCATTTTGTAGGTCTTCTTTGGAAAAATGTCTATTCAGGGTTTTTTTGGCCATTTTTAAATCAGGCTGTTTTTTTACTATTGAATTGTATAAGTTCCTCAAAACTCCCCACAAGGAAATGCAGGCAAAAGCCTGTAGGCAGGAATTCAATGATGCCGCCTCGATGGGAGGCCATGGCTGCTCAGTGTCTACAGAAGGGGTCAAGGGAAGACAAGACCCTTGGAGAGGTTAATGCATGATGCTCCAAGATAAAGACCGAGCAAGTGTCCAACCTCCACAGGGAAAGCTGGCTACTGGACACTGTGCTGTTGCTTGATGACTTTCTAGGAGAGGTGGGTAACAGATATGGTATGCTGGGATTCAGAAACCAGGTGGGAGAAGTGTGTATCTTCAACTGCTGGTTGGGGCTATGGGGTGCACTAAAGGATTAGAAGCCCCATGATAGCCAAGCATGGTGGCACATGCCTGTAGTCCCAACAGCTTGGGAGGCTGAGACAGGAGGATTGAGAGTTCAAAGCCAGCATCAGCAACTGAGCAAGGCCCTAAGCAACTTAGCAAGACTCTGTCTCTGAATTTAAAAAATAAAATATAATAAAGGGCTGGGGATGTGGCTCAGTAGTTAAGTGCCCCTAGGTTTAATCCCCAATACCAAAAGAAGAAGAAGAAGAAGAGGAGGAGGAGGGGGAGGGGGAGGAGGAGGAGGAGGAAGAGGAGCCCCCCCCATGACAGACATGGCTGGAGAGAAGTAGGAGCCAAGGGGGAGGGTGGTTGTGAAGACCACAATGTCTAGGGCATGGTGGGATAGAGGCCAGGAGAGGCAGACCCTAAGTCTTCTCTGATCAGCACCCCAACTGAGTCCATCCTAGGCCTCAACATAATAAGGGTCCTGCCAGCCTGAGGTGGAGCTGTGGCCAAGCCTGGCCTGACTGGTTGTGGAATCAAGAGGTGATCCTCTGGGCTGGCGTCCTTCCTTCCCAGCCTTGTATGCCGTTGCAAAGAAGCACACCACGCCTTCATTTTGCAGAACCCAGAGCCCTTGTGCAACTTCTTCTCTGGGTATCACTGCCCCAGTTCTGAACCCTCTGGGGTTATTATTATTATCCAAATATTATCCTTATTATCCAAATATCCTTCCCATAAATTCTGCTCACAGCCCAGCACCACCCCTGCCCCACCTCACCCAGCTACTTACACTACCACATAGGGATATGGTTCAGAGCCATCCTCGCAGGAGGGAAGGTTGGTAGCACCATGAAGAGTGACCATGATGGTCTCCATATTAGAGGGAGACAGGTGGCTGTTTTCAGGTTTCGTGCTTTGGGAGGTGTTCAGGGGGTCCTCTGGGCCCTCAGTGACCTGTGGGGAGAGAGTCAGGGCTGAGTGGCCTCTTCTGATATGGCGTCTCCCTTTACTGTCCCCCTATAACCTCTAGCCTCCTTATAGGTCCTCCTTTGGAGGCTATCTTCCTGTCATTTCCCCTAGCCCAGAAGCACAAGGCAGTTGTCCTTGAAATCGTTTTCTCCATACCTCTGTCACATATTCCACATGCCCTTCAGTGCCTCTCTTGCCTCTTCCCCAGCCCTGGATTGTCCCTTCCTGCAGCAGAAGACAGGCTACCTCACTTCTCATATGCAGTCCTACCTCTAAGCCTCTGCTTTTGCAGCTATCTTTGTTTGCTTATGGTTCCTCAACCCCACCTGCTCTCCAGGTCCTAGAGATTGGCCAGTCTTTTCTATTACTTCACCTCAGCCACCTGTCACTTCAGGTCCCTCCTGTGCACAGCACTTTGCAGTTTACAAAGCTTATCCCCATCAGTGAAGTCATCATGGCTTTAGTGGAGATAATGGATGTACTTCTCCCCAGGGAACCCTGCACATGGAGAGGGAGGAGAGGCACTGTCCATGTAACGCCCAGGCCTCCTAGGACAGGTGCCCCAAGCAGACAGGTGCAGGGGCTCAGTGGCTGGATAGCAGGAATTCATGACCCAGAGGAGCACAGTGATGAAAGTTGCTGAGGAGGTAGGACAACAGTGGCAACTGGGGCAGTCAGGAAAGGCAGTGGGACAGAGGCCTTCAAGGGCGGGGGTGGGGGGGGGGGGGGGAGAACACGAGAGGTGAAGTCATTTTGAGTCAGAAGACAGAAGGCTGCAGCCTGGGGTGGGGCAGTGAAGTGGGAAGGGGAGGGAAGTTTCTGAGGCCAGAGGAGGCTGTTTGACCACAGAGCAGTGGGAAGGCAGGGAAGGTGGCAGAGCTGGGGATGTCCGTGGTGAATGAACACCGCATGGTGGAGAAGAAAGGGGACTTGAGGCTCCTGTGGTTTGGGGATATCCTGATCCTCCCTCTGTACTGGCTGGTCGCCTGACCTCCATTTCCAGTACCTGGAGTTGACCCAATAGACCCGGTTTAACTCTGGCTAGCCTTCACCTGGCAGGAGGCCACCCATTCCCTTAGTCCCTTCTGCTGATCCATAGCCATATGGAGGGACCTTCATGGCCCTGGGAGAGGAGCCATGGAGCTCTTCAGGTTGGAGGTGGAGCCCTGAGAGGCTGAGTTCTTACCTGGAAAGCTCAGCCTGTCAGATCCTGCATTCTAGGGCAGGCCCTGGGGGTGGGGGTGGAGGACAATGTCCTGTTAGACTGAGGGAGACTGAGGCCCAGAGAAGAGGGAGGACCTGCTTACTGTGGTGGTTCCTGGTGAGCGCTGCTGGGGCTGTTGGGTTTACCTCATTCTGAGGCTTTCCGCTGTGGGATGCAGGGCAGCTGCGTTCTGAGAGTGGAGCTCCCCACCAGGACATTGAGAGACCAACCTAGTCTGTCGGGGAGTAGACCTGCTGCCACCTTGGGCTGGGGATCCTGGGCATATTGCTATCCTCAGGCACAGGGAAAAGGAAGAACCAAGGCTTGAGGCCCTGCTCAACCCTGAGGAGTTTTAGTGATGTGACTTCATTTGGTTTTTGCCCTGACACAGGTAATGGGGGCTCCATTCTTGGAGTTGCTCAAGCCCCACAGCTTGGAGTCCTCCTTGGTTCCTCTCCTCCTCTCACATCCCTCACCCAGTCCCCCAGCACATCCTGTCAGCCCTACCTTAATCCATCCCTAGAATTGCCCCTTTCCAACCCTTCCCACCATCTCCCTGTGGAGCACTGGGTCCCAAGACACCGGATGTCTGCTCTGGCTCCTCGTTGCTCTTTCCCTTCTGGCCCTCCCCCATTCCCTCCCATCTCACACTGCAGCCGGAGGGAGCCGTTACGAATTTAAACCACTCCTTGGCTCATAATCCTGCCCTAGAGTCCTGTCTCTTAGAGCCTTGCAATGGCCTTGTCTTATGCCTGGGTCCCCCACTCACTCTCTCCAGCCACACTGGCTTCCTAGCTGTTTCTCACATCCACCAATCTTCCTCCTGCCTGCCAGCCTTTGTCCTGGTTGGGCTACTCTATCCTGATTTTACCCAGGGCTGTCAATCCTGTACCTTGCTCCCGAGTTTCCTTTGGCCTTCCTGGTGTAGGCTGTGTCCTTGCCTAACAAGAGAACTCATTAGAGGGTGAGAATAAGCCCTCTCCCTGCTTCAGCCTCAGGAGAGACCCCTCCCCTTCCTCTGACTGAGGAGGGTACCCTCCCCCCAGCAAGGGGACCTGCCAGCATCTGCAGAGGTGTTGATGAGAGTAACCACCCCCTATTCCCCTGCCAGGCCAGGGAGGAAGGGGAGGGAACCCCCACTAGATGGAGTGGCTGTGGGGGAAGTAGCCACAGACCACTGCCTCCCCTCCTAGGCCAGACTGCTTGCTTCCCAGTGTTCCATTCTCACTGAGTGTCACTGTGTCACCATCATCAGAACTAGCCTAATCCCCATCAGGTTTGGTCTGCTGGCTTCCAACCAGCTTTGCCTCCAGTTTTCTGAGCCTCAGGGGAATGTCTGGAATGCCACTCTCCTAGTGGTTGATGTGCCTGAGTTTCCTTCAGTGAGGCTCCTCCCACCCCTAGATTGAACTTTGTTGCTATGAGGGCCAGGGACTGCTGTAAGCAACTTAGAGCCACAGAAGTGAAGGCCCAGAAGCACAGCAGTGGTCCAATGTCTCACTGACTCCCTGGCAGCCCCAGAGCCCAAGTAGGCCTCTAACCAGGCCCAGGAGTTGTGTTGCCTCTTTCCCTATCCGCTCCATGCCTCCCCTTCAGGAACAGCCTTCCAGGAAATACAGCCTGCAGAGGATTTGGCAGGCACTGCTCATGCTTCACTTCTGGGCATGAGGCCAGCTGCCAGGCTGGCGCCTCCTGGTGAGGCCTGTGGGCATGTGCCCATTGTCAGGCTAGGCCCAGGGCCAGGGAGGCCTGGGGCCAAGGGTGAGGACTCCAGTGAGAATGGTGGGCCAGGGCCTCAACCTTCTGCTTTTTCCTCTTTTCTTCCCACCTCTGGATAGGAATCTGCAGACTTCCTTCCCTCAGAGATGTCTCTGTGTTAGAATCAATGTCCCCTGCATGTCCCCCATTTCTGACCAGTACTGAAGAATTCCCATACTCTCAGATACTTGGGAGGCTGAGGCAAGAGGATCACAAGTTTGAGGCCCATAGGGAGACACTATTTAAAAATAAAAGAAAAGAACTGGGGAGTATAGCTTGGTGGTAGAGTGCCTCTGGGTTCAATCCCCGGTACCAAAAAAAAAAAAAAAAAAATCAGGTGTTGGGTCACATATTGGGGAGTGATGTGGGTGATGGTGAACCTCCCTAAGTCTCAGACCACACAGATCTATCTGTGGAGTGAGATGACCCCTGGGAGGGAATTCACTTCCTCTGATTGTCTCCTGCAGCCTAGGAGCAAAACTGGGTGCTCCCTCTTGGCTTCTCAAGCTCACCCTCAGCTCACCCACTCAACACTGCTAGAAGCAGAAATCAGAAGGCCACTTTTCCAGGCAGGGGTTTGCCTCAGTTCCTTCCGAGGTCACACAGCCTATAAATGGCAAGCGGGTACCCGGTATGGAAGCCTGTGGACCCCCAACTACTCCGTGGGGCCCATCCATGGCAGGCTCGAAAGCCACTTGATCCGAGCCTTGGCAGTCCACACAGGCAGACTTGTCCTTAATAAGCCAGGATTATCCAGCAGCTGTCCTAGGAGACCTGCCTATCACTCAGGGCAGTTTGGAATGTGTGTGGCGGGGAGCGGGAGGGATGAGAGGAGGAGGACAGGACCAGCAAAGAAAGAGTTAATGGCCCATTTAATTCAGTTCCCAGGAGTGGGTAGCTTAAATTGGTTCTGGAGGGGAGAGGGAAGGAAGGAGATCTATTCCCCATCCCCATTCCCTCCTCCCTGCCATCCCTCCTCCCAGGAATCTGGGAAGTCACTAGAAGCTCAGAAACCCAGGTTCCCCCTCCAGAAGGCTCCTGTGTCTGGAGAGGCTCTGCTGGGCCCTCAGAGGGGTCCCTGGGCTGGGAGGGTCTGGCTGCCCTCATCTGTCATTTGGGCAAGTTACTAGACTTCAATGGGCCTTTGAATTAAAACCTTTGAATTAAATTTGTGCTCTTTCTGTTTCAGCACCTGAACTTGCCTGGTGTTACCATGGCCAGGGGAAGGAAGATCCTGTTAGTGCAATAAAACCTACTTGGGGAGTGAAACCCCTCCACCAAGGCACCAAAGCTGAGCCAGTGGGGGCAGAGCTGGAACTGGAGCCAGGGTCTGTGTGTCCCCATGATTGGAGGCCTCTGCTCTGCCCAAACCACGTTGCTTTGAATGTGGGGCTCATTCTCTGGACTGTAACCCCTGTAACCTGAGTACTCATTGACAGTAGGGAGAAGTTGTGACATCTGGGGCAAGAAAGCCTTTCAAAAAAAATGACGCAGAGCTGGTGGTATAGCTCAGTGGCAGAGCACGTGTGAGGCCCTGGGTTCCATCCCCAGCTCCAAGCAGGGGAGAAAAGAAGATGACACAAAAGTCAGAAATCATAAAGAATTAAGTTTGGTTATGTTTTTTAAAATCCATACCAATTTTTTTTAATATTTATTTTTTAGTTTTTGGTGGACACAACATCTTTATTTTTTTTTTATTTTTATGTGGTGCTGAGGATTGAACCCAGCGCCCTGCGCATGCCAGGCAAATGCGATATGAGCCACATCCCCAGCCCAGTATACCAATTTTTTATAATGGCCCCAAATTTACCACAATGCCCCCCCCAAAAAAGACAAATGGGAAAGTTGCAATAAATAAAAAGGATTAAAATATCTAACACACAAAGCACTGAAATCTATAAATATCATCACAATAGAAGATCTGATCTGGGGATTCACAAAAGAAGGAATATGAATATATAATGCTTTATATACATCATGAACATCCTTGTGGAGGATTCTACCCAGCTATTAA